CCAGCTTTATATGCTGAGCATGATGTCACATGGTATGGAAAACCCCTTTGATCAGTTGGGGTCAGCTGTCCCAGCTGTGTCCCCTCCCAGCTTCTTGTGCACCCCCAGCCTACTTGCTGGTGGGGTGGTGTGAGAAGCAGAAAAGGCCTTGACTTTGTGTAAGCACTGCTCAGCAATAACGAAAACATCCCTGTATTATCAACACTGTTTTCAGCACAAATCCAAAACATAGCCCCATACTAGCTACTATGAAGAAAATTAACTCTATCCCAGCCAAAACCAGCACACCTAAACAAGTACCAAAGTCTACAGCAACCTCTGGGTCCCTCCATTAAAAAAAGACCCTGAAAACTGCTGAAGGCAGCTGGATGAGGTTGCTAAATCATCACACTGGACATGCACCAAGAGAGCCTGTCCTTGGGCTGCATGGAGCCAAACACAGCTGATTTGCAGGGAAACAGGCAGAGGGGTGCAGAATCTTTTTGCTCTAACTGAATATCGACAGCAAAGCCAAGCTAGGCTTTTATACCGTGCGGACTGTGCTGGAAGCCAGCTCAGTGCAGCTTAAAATGGGTCTTTTACATGGGCTTCTCCCTGGTGAGAGTCTATAGACTTGAGCCCCTTGGTCTTTTCTGTCCCATAAGGTTACAGGGCTTCCTGGCAATAATTAAGTCATTGCAATAGCCTAGTTTCCTAAAAGTACAGATCTACAGGCTGAAAAATAATTAATGCATAAACAGAACGTACACATTAGAGACTAGAAAAAGACACTTTAGTTTGCACTTAACACCGGTCTTACACTTCAAGGTTTCATTGCTTTTTCTTCCTTAGGTATCTATATTGGTCTGCAGCTACCCAATTGCTATTAATGTCTGTATTCAACTGAAGTAGGAAAATGAAAGCCACAGTAAATTGTACAATATGTTTACATTATAACAAGGTTTATAGAGGCATCATAATTCATCATGTATTCCAACAGAAGTATGGATCTCTTCCAATTTAATTTTCTGAAGTTTGAGTTTGCAGCTGGGTCACTCCTGGTGTAATCCGGGAGATGCATCTTCTAAGGCTGTGGGTTGGAAGAGCAGCATCCCAGCTGTCACTGCCACCCATCAGTTACCACGCTGGGGGCTGAGGGCAAAGCAGCTGAATCACTTTCTGTGGGTGCAGCAGCATAGCTAGCTTCATAAATTTTGTTGCAAGGAGCAATAATCAATACTTCATGGTTAATGACGCAAAACTGAAATTAGTATAGATTTTATGTCTCCTTCTCTTCCCAATTATGCAAACATTGCTATGCCCCTTCTGTAGTTGCCTTATATTACGGCTTTTATAAAGACTGTCTGGTGATGTTTAATTGAAAGACTGAATAGTCAAAAATGTCACAACCGAGTTTGGTTTTTACTTTTTTTTTGTTCAGTCTTCACCCTGCGGTTAATAGGAAATGATGTCAAACACAAGAAATTATTTATATAAGTTATGCAGGTTTTGTCACCCAGAGCTACATATAAAGTCAACTGCAAATTGTTTTCCCATTCTAAATTACCGTACATAGCTCTGGGATACGCTGAAAAAAATGACCACCAGCATAATATGGGAGAAGAAAAGGTTATCTTCTGAACTGAACTGTGCTTCAAAGAAAACAATTTTGAAAGTTGCTTGTTTTTAATATGCCAGAAGAGGATGTTCCTCAGAACAGGTAAAGAAAAAAAAAAAAAGGAAGGCAAAAATAAAAAGAAGTTTCACAACTGGATTATTTCCAATGGCTGATGAGTGGCAGGCAGCAGCCAGGCATCCCGAATCATGTGCAGTGCTCTATCAGCTGCAGCATGTCCACAAAATGGTGCTACAATTAGAGACCCAGAGGGGCAAAGACTGGGGAAACATCTAACTTGTCGTCTTGACAAATCTAGTTTATGCATAAAACGTATTTTGCAGTACTAGTCCTTCCAAGGCTGGGAAGAAATGAAAGCTGTATTAGAAGTAAATCAGCTACCAACTATGATCTTGTTTCATGTCAAACAGGGTAGAATCTTGTACAGGATTAAAAAGCGCCACATAAAATTTCTCTGTTTCATGAAATTGGCTTTATTTGGGAAAGCAGAAGGTAGAGCTGGCTGATCTGTTGTGCTCCTGAAGATTGCAACAGTCTTATTGGAAACAAAGTCTTTGATTCATCCCCAGGTCAGATAAGATATACAAGATGAAAATATCCTTGTTTTGCCTTTTTAATGTTTTTAGCCTTCCTGGGAATCCTGTATCTGTATGCAAGGTAGGTGTGAAGTAAATTACTCTCCTTCCTTACTCTGAGTAGCTTTTGCTTTTACATTTGATTCCCAACTTAATGAGCTAAAAGAAGTCATGAGTTAACATCTTTGTGTTTTGCATAGACTTCTCATTTTCCACTGTTGCTTAATAATCAAACAGTTGATGTATAAACACAAACCTGAAGGCACATCCCTGCATCTCGGGATGGTGATGCTCTTCGCATTGCATCACAGGGATGCAGCCAGGGGGGTTCAGTGTTTGATTGTCAGCCCAGCTTTTAAGGAGACTGGGCATGTGTCCTCTGCATGTGCGTGTCCCAGCGATGCCAGGGCACTCTGTGGGATTCTGCCCTGCGAGGGGACAGAAAGTTCAGCCCAGGAATTGCATCCCCTGGAGCACACGCTTCATTGTGACCAGGTTCTCCTCCACCCCTCAACTCCCACCCCTCCAGAACAATAAAACTCTGCCAGCCAGATACAATTTAGCTTTTTGAGCCATATCTCTGTACTGAACATTATGGGTAGATTTTTCCTGAGACATTAGCATGGATGCAGGGAACCCCAGCCATGCACCTGCAGTTAAATTTGTGACATCTCTGCTATTGAAACAGGATCTGATGCAAATACCCTGGTAAAGGCATTGGGCTGTAAATCTCAGCCAGTGACTCTCTTAATTATGAGACTGAATACCGTTTGATTGCAGAACAAAGAGAAGTGCTGATGCTCACTTGCCTCTTACCAAGACCATCTCCTCTGAAATCAAAGCAGCCACACACCTAACACATGAAAGAATACTTTCCTCTTTTGCTCTGCCTATTATTGTTGTAGGTCTGATATTTTCTTTCAAACTTATGTGCTGGACATATTGATAAATATATTGGTTTCTTTATAGCTATTTTGGATATCTAAATTTGAAAGCAACCCTGTAGACATTACCCTAGGGACCATTTTGTTTAGTGGTTGGCTCACAACGTCTTGAGGTTGAGGGGGAATCTCCAATGTCAACCAAGGGCTTCCCATAAGCATATTGAAATGTTTTTTCTCTCCATGTAGGAAGAACTCAAAAGGCTCCAGCACACTTTGGAACAGGTCAATGATGGCAAAGACTTGCTTCAAAGGTAAAAGTGCGATTTCCACATTATCTTATTTCCACAATATCTTACACATGATAAAGTGAAATGGCTTTTGTAAGGCAACAAGCCTTTTCTGAGGGACAGTCTCTTTGTTGTAGACTATGTTTCTCACTTCGTAATATACTAAATATTCAAAATTTTGCATCTCTCCCATAAATTATTCTTATTTTTAGTTATAGGAGGATAATTTCTGGAAACTTTTGCTGATTGAATGATGTAATTAAGTGCCCAGTAAGGTCTCAAAATAACTCCACAGGTTGGGATCTAATCTTACAAATTTTCATGCAAAGACCTTTCATTCATGTTGTTAGTCCCATTCAAAGCAGCATCCCAAGATGTTTGATTTTTATCTTCTAGCATTTTAAAACTGCTTTCTGAAAGTGATTGGTTTGCAGCACCAATTCCTCGGTCATCATTTATTACAAAGAATTTTTTCTTCATATTCCTGTATGGCTCTTGCTGATGTAATTCATTTGCTACCGGCATTACCATTGTTACTTTCCATTTTACTCTCTTTTCAAATGTAGCCCCAGGGATGAAAGTTAATTTAGCAAGAATAGCTATTATATTTGCCAGTGTTTTTTTATTTGCAGCGGCTTCTTTGCTGGGTGTGCCTGTCTCTGGAGCTGTGACATCTGGAAGGTTTAGTGCAAGGACTCAGGCAGGCTCCAATCTGGAAACTGGATCCAAATTGGTACTTTTGGTTAACAATCAAATGGGGCTGGAGATGGGGACCCAGATGCCTTCCTCCAAAGACAGTGATACCTTATAATGAGCAGCTCTTGTACGTTCCTGTCAAAATTTCTGAATTAATTCACAGTGATTGCAAAAACGTCATGCTGAGACACATTAAACCCCTTTTTTTTTTCTTTTCCATAGCCATCAGCTTTCCATGGATGAAGAAAATAATATTGAAAAATATCATATCAACTTACAGCCCTTGGAATCAAAAGTGAAAATGTAAGTAACAAAGAATGTCTTTTCTGCCTTTAAATATAGTTGAGTTTGTCCGATTCATGAACTGAAGAACCCAGACTGTATCCATTGTGGATCTCTGTGTAACTTTAAGTATAAAAAAGCCTCAACTTTGCAAGGTAGCTAAACTCTTCTCTACCTTTATGCACGTGAACATTCTCTCTGAACTGAGTTTCAAATGTTAAACTCCAATGTTGTACTAATTTTGTCCTTTCCTCTGTGAAACTATAGAATATTTGAAAATCTGCTAGATTTTTCATATATACAGAGAACATCCTGGTGGGGGGAGGTATAGTACAGAGCAAGCAGAAGTCTCTTCAGTGGTATTTTTCACTTCTAACATGAAGCCTGGTTAAAGCTCCTCAGGCGGCTCACGGGACTCCTCTGCAAGGAGCAGTCCTTGGGTTTGCATGGGGATGGAGATGTAAGTCTGAGGGGACCAGGGTTGCTGGGCTGTGGGGGATGCAGCACAGCTATATGGCTCTGAGAAAGCTGGTTTTTATTGGAAAGTGAGGCAGTTGCTAGCACTCAGCCGAGGCACATAGATGACACCTAGCTGTACCACCTGGAAGGAAGAGATAAGCATCACTGTGTTCTGATAATGAACTCCCCAACTCCAGATGCAGTAATTTTAGCCTTTGTAACACGTTTCCCACATGTTGTATAGTTCACCATGGGGTCAGTTATTCTAAAAGGCTTGACTGTGCTGTAATACATGTGGTAATAGCAGGGATATAACTTAAAACTTACCCACATGTCTATCAGAGCAGAGGACTCCTCTTTGTGCCTGTTCCAGCGTTGTTCCTCCAGCCCTGGTGCAGGCATTAGCTCCATCCAGCTGGCACCAACTCTGCACTAACATGGTGCCACTGGACTTCCCAGCAGACAGCAAAAAGTTTAACATGGCTCCACTTGCATCAAAAATATGAACATCTTTATGCTGAAGCCCCCAACTACTTCATGGCAAAATTTTGTGACATCAGTCATGGCTTTACGCAGAGTTGTATGTGTTGCTACATTAGATACTGAATTTCACTTTCAGTTGAAAAGCTATAGCTAACTCATTATACAGGACGTTAAAATATTAATGCCATATTAAAATATTAAAAGGACATGAAGTTTCAAATTAAAATCCAGCCAGCATCTTTTAGTCACACAAATATAAGCCAGATGAAAGAATAAATTTTCAGAGAGCTTTCTAGAAGGGTAGTTATGACTTCATCTCGGTATATTCTCAAGCTTTAAAATAGAAAGTACATGTAAATATAAATATGTAAATACTACTTGTATATATTATGCAGTAAAGCTTGAAACTGAAACAATGCAAAGTGTAAATGCTTGAGGTATGAAGATGTGCAGATTTTTTAAAGCAAAATGCATTTACTGAAAGCTGCTCTGTTGGCACTCGCATTTGGGAGCTTTGCTGTCCATCCTGTATGAAAACAACACAGGACTTAACCTACCTGACTAGCTCTAAAGGGCACCTATTCTGGTGAGGCTGTAATGAATGCTGTTTTGTTTCTGATCTGGTATTCTTCTAAAAAAATACATATATTTGATTTCCTCAATCTTGAGATGTTCAGAATGCCATGTGTGTTGGGAACGTTATTCCCTGACCAGGAAAAATTATATGCCAAGAGGCACTTCCCACTGTCTGGAGTTCCCAGCACTGCAGGCAGTCAATGAGAAGTTGTAGGTGTCCTGGTGTTGAGCTTCGTCCTCCTCCTCCGGAGCCAAGAAGTTGGATGTGCCAGTCTGTAATCAAATGCCTTTTCAGCGGTGTCTGGGCACTAAATATTTTTCTGGCTTGTGTGGGTGGGAGCAGAAATGTCATATTAACTGTTAAAAAGGCAACGTAAAAAAAAGTATTCCTAGAACAAAGTAAATCCACACCAAAGTCTTTGGACACTGTGGTTCGAACAATAAAGGACATGGTAAGATCCCTTCAGGAAGGAGCTTTGCCCTCTGCACTGTGCTGGGGTGCAGGCACCGCAGGTGGGAGCAGGGCCAGGTGGAGTTTGGGCGTAGGACCCCTCCCGGGGAGCACCCCAGCAGCAAGGCTGGGTGCTGAGCGTGCCAAGCCCTTTGGGAGCAGGCAGGGTGGAGGAGTGCCTGCTCCCACCCGCTCCCCGCACAGCCGCCTGGGGAGAGCAGCACAAGAGCTTTGCACCACTGAGAACAACTTAAGCAAAGGTCCAGGGTATTCTACCTGATTAACAGACACACTGAAGGTTTTACTGACTTGATATCCCCATGAATAAACTCTCAATTGCTTGAAAATCCTAAAAGGAGCATTTTCTAGCTCATTGCACTGCAGCAACACTGCTGAGTCTCAGGTCAGAATTTAGCTCCGCTTTTCTGCAGAGTTCACAGATCATCCTGTCTGCAAACACCCACATACTTTGTGTTAATGCCATTACTATTGTAAACAGTGGTTTAATTCCCAGCATCTCTCACTGGTCTCTCTGGCACCTTCAGAAAGGCGCAGGCGGCCCGGCACTGCCACCTGGTGAGAGCCGCCCCGGCCTCCAGCTCCCCGGCCACCGGCCGGCACAGAAAACGGAACTTCTTCACAGAATTTCACATCAGATTTTAGAAACTTGGTCAAAGTTTAGAGTTTGGAAGCAGAGCTCCTACCACAATCCCCACACGTTGCTTTGGAGGAGGGTTTAAGTCCCCAGCTACCCAGGACGGAGGAGATTTTAAAGGATACTGGTCTGGCTTTGAACTTCCGACCATATCTACATTATAATCTGAAAGCTGATATAAATATAAGATTTTGAAGGCTATTCATTCTTTTAAACAGATAATTGCATTTTTTTCTTTGTTTTCAAGATGTAAGAGAATGGCTGAGTTATGTACAGTCTCATATTTAAATCACTAAGTTTAAGGATCTGAAATAAACAATTGCTTCTACTTAACAGATATCTCAAGTTATACTAACAGTGCCTAATGTACAATGCACAGAGGGTAGTTATCATTTGGATCATTATCCAAATCGGAAAACAAAGTGCACCAAAAAAGAGAAAACCACCAAAACCCACCTCTTCAGTCAAGAATATATATTCTAAATCCTTTTTGTTGCTGCATTCCTCCCCCAACCCTGTGCCTTGGTGTTTGCCTTAGTATCCAGCGAGCATGGCGTGAGTATCTGCAGCGCCAGGACCTGCCACACCACGAGCAGCTGGACAAGCGCAGTCCCTCCCCACCATCCCTCTCCTCGGACAAGATGAGCAGGTCCATCAGCATGAACACCTTTTCCGACAGCAGCACACCAGTGAGTACAGCATTGGGGCCCATTTTCTTATTTGTTGCTTTTTGTTGGGTTCCTTTCTAGGACCTCGGATAAATGAAAGCTAAATTATGGGCTAATCATGAAAGAGGAACTTTTAGGGGAGTAGTAGTGTCTCAAATGAACCTGCAAGCAGATGTGCCTCTTGTAGGTACAGTTGAATGTGTGACTGTGCATATTAGATGTGGATCTCAGCAATATTGTGTATTGGACACAGCAGATATTAGCAGTGCTCTTGATGGGAAAACGTGTTTCCAAATGGTGTTGTGTTCTTCTGCAGAAAGCGGGGATCTTCACATGGAGCACTTTGTGTTCTCCAAAAAACCAATTTGTGGTGCTTTTCCTACAAATAAATGTGGTTTTTGTTTGTTTTTTTTTTTTTTTTTTTCCTAAAAGAGACTTAGAGAAGTTGATCTAAGGATTAAAAATTAAACTTGATTTTGGAAGAAATGTTCACACCACCTTGCAGGCTGGGTGACTAGCAGCTGGAAGCTGTACTTCTCTTTTTAAGGTGACTCTAAACTAGAAACCCAAATATAGAGCCCATTTTTTTAAAACAAGTGGCTTTGTGACTGTCTCTGGAGTGGGATCTTTTAGGTCAATAAATCAGCAGATAGATACAGTGCCTACAAATATTGCTTTTAGCTTTGCGACAGAATATATCAGTTTTGAGGAAACTGTCGACTAGAGCTCATGAAATAATAGTTTTAAAAAAATACAGGAGAGAGAAATTGCCATGATGTGTGTTAGACCAGCTAAATAAAAGCAGGATGTGTCCCACTCTTCGACTGAGGTGTGCGGGATAGGTGTGAACAGGTTGTTTGGATCCTTGCTAGGAGTGCATATTGGTCAGTTATACGAAGCTCTGTTGCCAGTAACGGGACAGCATTTGGTGGCTTCTGAGTTCACTACAAAAATCTAGAATTCATTGCTAGTGGGGTTCTTAAAGTAGATGGAGCCCCTGTGCAGGGAAGAGATGTTTGTTAGTTTAACTCTGCCTTCAGTTGCAAAGTTGGAGCAATGCTACCTAATGTAAAGCACAAGGCAGGCTCACAGATCCAACAGAGCTTTTCTGTGCTAAGAACTCTGGTCTTGGACTTACGGGGGCAATTTGATTCTTTCCTCCATTGAACCAGGTTCAAACTGAAGCTAGGTGAGCTGTTTCCAGCAGCTATCATTTTTGTGACACTGTGGTAAGGCAGGCTGCATTAGATTTGACAGCGTTTAATAAAATATTACTGAGAGTGCACTTTTTATTTTTAGATGCCTTGTGTTTATAGCTGGAGACCAGGATGATAAACTACGTTGCAATATTGGGTTATACACTAATGCTTCATGTATTAAACTAGTTAGGTTCCTCTAATGGGAGATATAAATTTGGATCTCGTTTTCATCTGCCGCTGGCATTTGTTGGAGCCTGGCTGCCACACAGGAGCGCTGAGCCAGCCACTCGGCCACCACAAGAGGTCCCTCGTACCCTGCGCAGGGAGGCTCCTGGGTGCTCTCAGGTTCTCCATCAGTAACATTTGGAAAACGATGCATTTTCAATGTTTTCGGGTCTTTCGGGGTAAAATGAGTATGTCTGGGAGTTATATATTTGTGGGAAATGAAGCTCGGACACTGGAATTGCTACTTAGTTTGTATTAATGCAACACCCACTCATCTCACTGCTGCATCCTACTTGTTTAATGCAAAGGAAGATGGGAGTATTTCCTTACACTTTTCTAGTGCCAAATCTGTCAATAACCTTTGAAAAACCAGGGTACATTTCTGAAGGCAAAGGAACCCCTGTCTATTTAATGTGTCCTTGATTTTTGCAATACCTGGGGCTGTGAGGGACCCACACTTTTATGTGCAGGATGGTCCTTAATTCTGGGATGAGGCACTGTGACTCCAGGCAAATGCTGTTGTACTTTTCAAGGTCCTCACAAACCATTTAAAACCAAACCTACTGATTTAAGATGGTTTTCTGTCTTCGTCAGAGAGTGCTGTGGCCATCTTGAAAGTAGGGAGCAGATGAAGGAGGTGAGGAGAAGCCTTTAGTGTTGGGAGCTCAGCAGATGCCCTAAAGAGGGAGGTGGTTGAAGGTGTGAGATCTGGCAGGGAGGTCTTATATGGGTACCGTCTGAGAACAACTACTGCCACAAAGCAAAAAGGCAGCAACATTGTCTAGGGTAGTTTTGTTTCCTGATTGCTTCTGATGAATTAAAGCAGTGCTGGTCCTGTGTGGATCATGGTCTCAGCTTCTGCAGTGCGTGGCTGGGTGCATAGGTGTGCACAGAGAAATGCCACCAGTGCATGTGCCTCTCGGAGCTGGGCTGGGTCATCCTTGCTAGTCCTTGGACACATATGCTAAGGATAGGCTCTGATCTAATGCAGTAGTGAGTATGTTTCTGTCTGATACACATGTGCTTTCCTGATGGCAAATGTCACATATTTTTGGTTTGTAATTGATACTGTCCAGTTTGGGGCAGGGCAGGGACAAGGTCAGATCAAAACAAGGACAATTAACCTTGAACTGTTGACATGTGAATGGGAGAGTAATTGATTGTCTTAACCAAATAAAGACTTGGGCAGAATGAAATGCACCATTTCGGCTGTAAGCCACGTTTTCTGCTCTAGCATAAGGTAAACTTAAAACAGGAGAAAAAACATCTGAGAGCAGAGAAACCACTGCTGGACCCATCTGTAATTTTACACTCTCTTGAAGTTTTGTGTTTGTAAGACCCAAGCTGGAAGCAGGAGAGTGGAGTTGGGGAATAACCAAGCAGTCAAATACATCCATTTGCCAAGTCCTCAATTTGGCCAACATTCCAGAACAAGACCTTTGAAAAATGGGGCACATTCATTATAATGCCATTTCTTTTGCATTAGCAGCATTGCTGGTGCCCTAAGAAATACGCCTGTGCCTAGTCTTTGTGTAAAAGTATGCTGTGCTGAGCAGTATGGAGTCTCCCAAATTTCTCTTGCTGTCTGGCAATCTTCCTCTGAAAAATTTGGAGGAGGGAGAAAGTCAGACTGAAATTTGGACTCTTTGGGTGTTTTCCCATTTCTTTTTTCAAAGAAGTAGAAAGCAACTAGCATGTCAAAATGTGTTAGCAATAAGCATTGATGCAGATGGGAGAGATAAATTTATGAAGTATTTTGAGAAACCACTGTCACAACACAGCCACTTAATTCAGCTAAAGTCTAATCCTGGTTTTCAATTTCCTTTCTCAGCACAAGCCTCCCGGTGTTCAGCTTGGCTGGATCCTCAGCTGGATCTTACACACTCCTGGGGGCAAAAAACGAGTTGGCTACTTGAATAATGAAAGACAGAAAGGACCTCATGCCCAAAAAATAAATGAGAGCCTGTGGGCTAACAAATGCATGCCACTGCAGCAGGATGGGTATTGAAACCCTGTACACTGAATATCTATTTATGCCAGTACATGGGACCGGCAGTTGTGGTGAGGTAGAATTCTGAAACTCTTAATTGGATGAATAATACCTAAACCCAAGGTTTATTCAGACTGTTGGGGACAACAGAGAGTGTCAACGTGTGCAGTCTGCAGCTGGAGAGTTAAGAATGATTTTTGGTCATTTGTAGTTGAAAAAGAAGGTCTTTGAGTTCATTTCCACTATTACTACAAACCTCTGGAGGCATTTGTAAGGGAAAATGGGGAATTACTAGGTCTGAGAGAAGTCAGAGTTTCAAATGCATTTTTTCTCTCTTGCCATTGAAACCTTTCCATTCTTAAAAAATAAGACAAAACTTGCAAACAGGAAGTAGAAAAAGTAATTAAACCCATAGGAAACTGAAATCCAATGAAAAACCTGTACACCCAAAGTAAAAAAAAATGCCCAGAACCCAAGGTGTGGCCTGTTGTCAGCACATGCACAGCTTGTGTGCAGGGTGGGAGGGCAGGGCACCAGCATGAGCACTAACCCTGGGAGGAGTTAGGCAATGATGGCCTGAGACTTGCAAGATGTAGTGCAGGGGAGCTGTGCATTCCTGATATGCAGACACCTATTCATTTGTAATTATTAAAACTTTGTGAATTCATCAAATATGACATTTTCTTGTTGTCCCAGCCATGAAGATAAATACAGAAACACAAAGCAACAACCTCTGACTAACTTTAGAGAAATGAGGAGAAGGAGAGGTACCAGGAACAGTTCTTGCTCTGCTCAGCAGCAGCAGGGATGCTTTCTGGTCAACTGTACCACAACTTTCATGGTTAGCAGCTGTCATATGACTTTTTTAAAGCCATTTGGTTCCCATGAGATGGGGATAGCTAGGCAAATGGGCTTTGCCTCTGGCCAGTGTGAGATGCCGGACATGTAAACAATCAGTTCACCACTGGTTCATTGATAGAAGGTGATGTGAGCTCTCCTTGACTTGCTGAAGATCATGTATGTCTTTTATGTATTTGGCTTCAAAAAGCTGTAGCTTAGCACTGCTGGCTGTGGTTACCATATTTCAGTTCAGAGAGACAACCTAACTGTGTGATTCTAAGACTCAGAAGCTTGATAAATCATTAATTATGATACCTTTGAATCCAGTGTTTGAACTTATTTTGGATCAGCTGGCTGCCTTCATAACTGCAGGAAACTGTTGCTCTTAAAATTAAATACTGATGAGAAACTTGTGAAATAGAAAAGGAACTACTAGATTAAGGAGAAAAAAAAACCCACAATAGAAATATTTCCTTATTTTTGCTGCTACCTCCAGTTCTTGATAATTCCCAGCAGCTCTCCTGTGTGAAATTTTGTCTTAATTTTATGGCAGAGGAACAGTGTCTTCTGGACTGTGGGACACTGAATCCTTGAAGATACTAAAGGGAAAAGATTCTTCTTTCAGGCTTTGTTTATATGCCTCTTGCCCTTGAAGCCTGAGCATCTCATCTCAATAGCATTTCATTACAGTTGTGCATGTGCTTTCGTTAGCTGGCTCAAAGGTACCAGATGGTAAACAAGGTCATAATTAATTTTTTTTTGACTGGCACCACCTTTGTCTTCCTTCTCCTGGCTTAAGGGTTGGTCAGAATGGCAACTGAGGAAAA